ATGGTTGAAGAGAGAGGTGACGTGACGTGTCACATATGAAAACCAACATGTGCACAGGATGCATCACATCACATGATGTATCCAAGCACATGCTCATAGGTCATGTGACTCATCACATGCATCAATCCTGGGACTAGTCCTGTCTGAAAATCCTCAGGAATGGACCCCCACAGGACTGAAAAAATTGGCTGGTACATCAGCCAATACTCAGTCCTGGGACTGTGCAGAAATCCTCAGGAATCCTCAGGAGTCCTACAGGAATCTGTGGGGGACAATAAAGACCTCCTATGTTCAGGAAAGTGGACATGATGGCAACACTTGTGCCCCCAGGTTGGAACAGTGCTCAAAGTGGGAAGGGTCTTGAACAGCAGGCGACAACACCAAGCTGGAAAAGTGCTCAAAGTGGGGAGTGTCTTGGACAGTGGGGGCCAGGGCACAATGCAGAACCACCATTTGGTGTGTAGCAAGGTGTAAATCATTGCACCTGACATGTAGAGTGTCTTATGGAGGCACTGATTGCCTTGGAACTGTGCTTGATGTGCAGAGCATCTTGTAGACATTATATGGCAGCCTGTTGTGGGCTAAGACCTCTATGTGCAACTGTGCCTAACATGCAGAGTGTCTTACACTTGACATGTAGAGCATCACTAGTGATTGTCACGGGTTTAGCAACCTGTGTAGGTTATGGGTAAGGGTACACTTGGGTAGGGGTACAGGTTTGATTTTCGCTACCCTAACCAAACCCATACCCATGGCAGGGGTTGGTGGGTACCCATAGCAATACCTGTCATGTTATTAGTTAGTGTTTGTACAGCAGGCCTGGCAGTAAGATCAAAAAATACTAATTTATTGTTGCCAAGTTCTGCATAAGGGATACATGAACAATTTGTAAGGTATTTTATCAACTGCAGGTCACACTGGGAGGGGAGCTTTTTGTATTTGGTTTTGTATTTTTATGATGGCACGTCATTTTGAATTAATGAAATATTCTACACACATATAAGTAAGAACACATATATATAAGGGGCAGTTAACTATACAGCTACGGCATACATACTGCAAGATGGGAGGAGTGGAGAAGGAAAGCAAAAGAGACTCAAGAGAAGTTGAAGTGCTATATATGCAAGGCACTTTAGGGCAGGTTCATGAACCCACCCTAACGTGCCATGTGTATACAGTGCTTCAGCTTCTCTCGTGTCTCTGTTTGTCTTCCCCATCCCTTCTTCCCTCTTGGCCCCCCCATATGTATTAGGATATGGGACAACGACATTATGAGGACATGGTGAGTACCCCCCATCCCATGTTCATACCAACCCACCTCACTGAGACACAGGAAAATGTTGGAGTGACAACATGGATGACAACGATGTGATGAGGAGGACACAGGATGATGATGCAATGAGGACACGGAATGCAGACATGATGAATGAGGACATGAGGATGACGGTCCCCATGATGACAACATGGCACAATGATGTGACGAGGACATGGGATGACACCAACTGCTCCAACCTCCACTGCACACCCAACAACGATGTAGATGCAGGCGCTATGTTGTGTCCGCGATGTGGCATTCATACCATGCAAACCCATGGCCACATACAATGAGGTAGTGAGTCCCCTCCATCCCACCTCTTCCCCTGCCCACCCAAATAACATCACCGCCAGACAAATGATGGTCACCACAGCGACATTATTGAAATGACAGCACAGTGACACAATGACAACACCACCATGCGACCATCGCAACATGCAATGGTGCCACGACCATGCGACAACAACATGACAGCCACACAACCACAATTAACACAAGCACAACCATGCAATGATGAGGCTGTTTCTCCCCATCCTAATACATCTGTCTGCTTATGTGTTCTACTTAACCTATAATGTATTTTGTAGTTAGTTACTTGTAGCCATTACAGTGAGTGCCATGCCATAGGCACTGGTCCAAAGCTTGTACATAATTAGTTGAATAGAATACAGTTTTAGTTGTCTTCGTATTAAGTTACTTGTACACTAAATTTATTGTTTGACATATGACTGAGAATAAGATCAATACTTAAGGAAAATACACTGTACAGTAGCTACCTGTGGAGCCAAACCCATAAGACCTGCCTAACCCACCAAACCCACCAAACCCACCAAAACCTGCACCCTTACCCATGGAAACCCCTACCCATGGTTGAGGGTACGGGTTTTCATGGGTAGGGGTACAGGTATGGCCAGAAGTACCTGGGGGTTACCCGTGACAATGCCTAAGCATCACAAGCAGTGCAGAGTGTCTGATGTGCACATCTTGTGTGCATGAACCTATGGTTCAATGTTTCCATTTACATTGAGTTCCAGCCCACTTCTCATCTACCTATGGAAGTTTATTGGCATATATGCATGGCTCTTGGGCTGGGAGCAATATGTATCAGAACCCTGGCTTGACACTATGAACACCACCTCAGGCTAGAGGTCACTGCCCGCACTGATGTCATCCCCAAGACACAGTCAAGTTTGCCTTGGGTAATGGGGATAGAGTTGAGTGATTGGGCTGGGAGTGGTATGTCTTAGAACCCTGGGTCAACACCATGAACACCTTTGGCTAGGGGCCATTGCCTGTGTTGATGTCTTCCCCAGCATAGTCAGCACAGCAGTAGTCAAGTTTGCATTGGGGAATGGCAGGTGGAGGTTGAGTGATTGGGCTGGCAGAGACATGTCTCAGAACTGGCTCAATGCCAAGAACACTAGGGGCCATTGCCTGCGTTGATGTCATAGCAGGGAAAGGCAAGTTTGCAGCATTGTGTCATGGCAGAAGGTCATAAAATGATGTACAGAGCTCATTGTTGCTCTATCATCATGTTCAGTGAAGCTTTGTGATGGTGTGTTCTGTGTCGAAAATTATATCTGTTTACATCCTGCAAGACTTCATTCAAATTTTATTCTAAGTCAAAAAAAAGAAGTAAGTGCTGTGAGGTATAGGAGTACTTCCTATATACTTTTTTTTTGAACAATTTCTGTACTCATGAAATTATCAGTGTAAGATTTAAAGACAAACTATGGATTAGGGAAGGACACTAAATACATTATAAGAGAATTGATGGTGGAGGATGTAGCTAGCATTGCCAAATTTCAGTCCAGAACTTCAGTTCAAACCCAAACCTCTGAACCAAATGCAAAGTTCAGTTCAGGTTCAGGTTCAGGCTCCAGAAACTTTCTGGAGAACATTGCATGAGTGGGGAAGTCCAAATAGAGTAGATGGTGATGCCAACCAACCAAACAACAACCTGATGTAGTAATCCCAGGATTACAACATTGTTGTGAAATCCATTGATTTTAGAGCTGGGATATTTAAATAATAACAATGATATTTGAGTCCACAATGCTGTAGAGTGTTATTCTCAGCAATTAGTACTTCATCTACACCTCAAGAGACAGAAACTGAGTGATTAAAGATTTTGTTTCTGCTTGGTGTATACATAACTCAATCATGGAGATGTTAGAGGAATCATAGGTATGGAGGATGTATCAATGACTAACTGGAATGGAGATGAACAAGAAGAAATAGAGCAGATAATGACACATACAAAATTTGACATTTTGCAAAGAAACAGGATCATTAGAATTTGGATAGCTCTGTATCTTTCTAAACATTTTGAGATGAATATCCAGTGAGCATTGACAGCAAGAAACAAAGCATACCCTCTAAAATTGGAGAATTTTATGACACCAAATATTCCAAGATGATATAAATGGAGTTGACTTGCCCACTGTATATCTGAAATAAGTGACCTTGTTTAAGAATGTTAAGAAATACATACTTTCTAATAAAAAGAATGGTCGAAAGTGGAAAGTGCTAGAATCTGGATTAAAAACATACAAGCTACAAAACATCAGCATTGTTGTGTAACAGGAAATAAAAACGTACAATCTGGGTTAAAAAAAACACATATCAGGGAGATGGAAATGAGAATAATTGGATAACCTACATCCTGAAGAAAGGAAAAACAAAGATGTCATGAAATGCAAGGTGCTAAAATTTGACTAACATCCTGGAAGATATTGATTGGAGATTAATCATCTGATAAAAAAAGATGTCTGAAAAAATGTAAATTGAAAAATGAAAGCTACAAAACAACACTCACAAGACATGGAGGGGTGCAGACATACTTTCTATAAATGAAAGGAATGATTGCAGGAACATAGTGAGTAGATAGATTATGATAAGAATATAAGCAACTCACATTCTAAAAAGGAAATGTCAAAAATGGGTTGCTCAAAAAATATACAGTGAAGGACAAATTACTTACACCCTAAAAAACATGAAGTCAGATATGTGTGATAAGAGTAATCCATGACCAAAAGCAAAGCAGCTTACCCCCTGAGAAAGAAGCACCAAAATATGTGTTACCACAAGAGTGCACATTAAAAACCAGGCCAACTTACACGCTGAAACAAAACAGGCCACATCATCACCAGAAGAGTACACATTAAAAACCAGGCCAACTCACATTCTGAAAAAAGACAGGCCACAGTCTGTGTCACCAGAAGAGTGCACATCAAAAACCCAGGCCAACTCACATACTGAAACAAGACAGGCCACAGTCTGTGTCACCAGAAGAGTGCACATTAAGAAACCAGGCCAACTCACCTCCTGAAACAAGACAGGCCACAGTCTGTGTCACTAGAAGAGTGCACATCAAAAACCAGGCCAACTCACCTCCTGCAACAAGACAGGCTACAGTCTGTGTCACCAGAAGCATGAACATCAAAAACCCAGGCCAACTCACATACTGAAACAAGACAGGCCACAGTCTGTGTCACCAGAAGAGTGCACATCAAAAACCCAGGCCAACTCACATACTGAAACAAGACAGGCCACAGTCTGTGTCACCAGAAGAGTCACATCAAA